ACAACACTAGTTATCACAATCATTGAACAAATCTTAGCCACACATTTTTTTTGATCTCAATTATCTACATGATGACACATCATGTTGTACAAAATAATTGTACAAAATAATGGTACAAGTAGCTTTATTCATTTTACAAACCACTAGTATAATTTGTTGGTCAAAACAGTTGACACAATTCGCTGGTCAAAATAGCAGACACAATTTGCTAATAGCTAACAGTTGATTGCGAAACAAGACCATAAAATGTCGAGATATTGAATTCATACCTCCTGATGTTTTCCACATGTTGAAATTAATTCTGCACAAGGTGATGGAGAAATGAGGATTCGGGAGATGGCAAACGTTCGTAAATATAGCTTTATATTTGATGGCATCTAGACGTCGTTCTTAGAGCATTTGCTTTTTTCTTTTATTTTTGTTTTTCAATTATAATAACATATATTGCAATTGACCCACATTTATATTTTTAATTAGTGATGACTTGTTGGATTTGTTTATATGAAATATTTACTTGATTATGAAATATTTTCTTTTTCTTTTTATTTATATTTATCATATTTAAATAAATTTAGTATATTTTTAAAATATTAATTATTTCTATTTCCTAAATAATTACAAGTTCAACATAAATTAAAATGATAACATATGTTGATGTCCTTATAAGTTATTTTATATGTTAACAGCTAATTAAAATAGTTAATTTTATTAAACACTTTTTTATAAACCGTTAACACTATCATTTGGTCAAAATCAGTGTTCTAAAAGTCGTTAGGCGCTCGACCAGCTCCTAGCGCCTAGGCTAGGCCTAAGCGGTGCCTAGTCGGGGCCTAGAAATCAATATTAAATAACTTATTTTTTATTTATTTTAACTACCTACAAAATAAACTATCTCAACTTATAATAATTTCACACATCTAAGTTCAAATAATAGTATTAATATATTTTAAAAGTCAATTTGAGAACAAAAATAATGTAATTCATATTAAAATGAAACTGAAAAATTGCCGCTGAGCGCGCCTAGGTTCTCTTGTGCCCTCCTAAGCGACGCCTAACCGTTTAGCCGCCGAGCCCGCCAAGTCCGCCTAGGAGCGCCTAAGGCCGCCTAAGCCCGCATGACCGATTTTTTCGGCCGATTTGTGCAAACCAGAGGCGACCGGACATCGCCTAGCGCCTAGGCTGATTTTTAGAACAGTGGTCAAAACAATCAATGCAATCTGCTGATCAAAACAGTAATGCAATTTACTAACCGGTGATTACCAAACAAGACCTTGTTTTGAGGTAATTGAAACTTTTTATTCTGTTTTGTAATATGTTCATGTGTGATTTTACATCATATTTATATAGTATCTAGAGCTTATTTGTTGCATTATTGGTGTATAAATTGCATTATTGTGCTTAATTCTATATTTGTTGGAAATGTATTACACGTGCTTGTTTTGTAGATATTTTCACATATTTGTAGAGCTTTGGCTATTGGAGGAGCATTGTGAGTGTCTAAGACTCCCGGGATGATGATAGATCGATGCACAGATGAAGAGAATGGAAGAAACGAACAAAACAAGCCGAAAATGAGTGTACAGTGGTGTGACACGACCCATGACAGGGGCTCCCAGGTCGTGTCACGACCCATGTCGTCCAACAGAGGAATTTTGAAGCTCCAGACCTGACACGACCTGTGACACGACCCGTGACACGGGCGTGTCTGGTCGTGCCGCACACGCGGGCAGTTTTTAATCCCTTGCCTTTTTGGATAAGGAGAAGAGTTTTGGACATTATAAAAGGCATATTAACCCTATTCTGAAGGAGGAAGGTAGAGAACACAAGGAGAAGAGCTTGGAACACAGAAAAAAAGCAATTGGAAAGAAGAGAAGATCAACCACAAGATTTCTAGTTTTTCTTTCTCTCTTTTGAACTTATTTTTCTCATGATAATTTCTAATATGTCTATGTATTTGAATTCAAACATGAGTAGTTAAATTTCTTTGATTCTAAGACATGGTAGTAAATTTATAGTTTGGGATTTTTGGATGATTTATCATAATTGATTGTTTTCTTTTGAACCCTATTCAAATATTTTGTTCTTATTTCATGAATTGCAATTGGCCACTGCTTTTACATGTTTGATGATATTGTTCATAATTCGAGAGATGAG